ATATTGTGTGTGTGTGTGTGTGTGTGTGTGTGTGTGTGTGTGTGTGTGTGTGTGTGTGTGTGTGTGTGTGTTCAATGACACAACAATTGAATAAAGGGTTTTTTTTTCCCAAAAAACTTTTATACCTTTCTTATATAATGATTCTATTAACTTAAGAGTTGTACCACCTGCGAAGGACCAAGTAGTAAAACTATTCTCGATATGCAAAAAAAAAACCAAAAACAACATAAAAACGACCTAGCAGCACCAGCTGTCAAAACTGGCCAAACTGTAAAATTTTGTAGATTAAATTTAACAATATTAGACAACTGTTTAATGCTCCTCACCTCATCTACTAATTGCTTTGTAACACACAGTATTCTTAGTATTCAATAGCAAATCTGACTTGGTAAGCCAATCCTGAACATTGGTCATTGCTGAGGTCAAAGTTAAGGAAACTTGTTCAAAGCTATTTGCATTGGTAAAAGTTTGCACATCATCCAGATACATCTGAATATTTCATTGTCAACACAGTGTCAAATGCCTTCTTTAGATCTATAAAGACAGCTCCAGCACAGGTACTCTTATCCAGTAAGTATATAACTTTTTCAACTATACACAATTGGCTGATTCTGTTGAATTAGTATGAAATCCAAACTGAATTGGATGCAAAGAATTATATCCATTATTTAGATGTTTAGTTAGAGGCTTAGCTACCCTTTTTGTACAACCTTAGAAATTACAACCTTAATTTCTACAACCTTAGATATTATTGGCACAATACTAATAGGCCTGTAATTACTCAAATTCGATTTATATCAGATGTATACCAGATGTATAAATTGGGATCACTGAAGACACTTGCAAGATAAAGGAACAACTGCTTGCCTAAAGGATAGATTGAACATATGCAAGTTAAACTGTGTGAATGTTCCTCACCTGATTCATTGTGTCTCATGCGTTTCATCAGAATATCAACATTCACATTAAACCACTGTTCTTTGCTCTTTCTGGACAGGGTGCCTTTTTCCCAGTAATCCTCCTGCATTTTCTCTTTCATCCACTGCTGTTTGGGAATCTTCCTCTGTTCCTCACTATTGTAAGAGTCGATCTGTCTGTCATCTAGCAGACCCATAGCACTGAACTGATAGATGCCCGGCTGATTGACAGGTTTGGACAAAGCCGTGTAAATGTAATACAGCGAGTGTTTCTCTGCAATGAGGAGAAATAAAATGTGAATTAAACAACTATTCACTGGTTTGTGATTAAAGTTAATGAGAAAGCAGGTAAACAGTCTATACAGTCTGTAATTCTCTGAGAGACATTGTAGCCTAGTCAACATTCCATATCTGAACCGACCCAGTATTACTTAAAAAACACATATTAAAAACACATATTTCTGCTTATCCGATAGGATCTTAGTCTTTGTTAAATTAATTTGATGCCCCTAAAACAGTCCTGTTTAATCTGTAAACCTCTAATGCTGATCAATCACATAACGGTGTTGGCAAATGGCCGCTGCCTTGTTGATCTAAAGTTATTAGTTGATATTTATAGATTTTTAGTTGACAACTCGTATTACTGTTATATTGTATAGTCCTATATGATGTTAGCATGCATTTCTCATCACATTTAATTTCTGTCGTTACAAAGACGTTTCAAATCACGACGCGTACTCGTTACTTTCACTTTCATTCTCTGATAAACGCAGAAACTTGTAATCGTTTACCTGCTCGCAGTGAAGGCAAAGTCCCATAAAGAAGAAAAACACACAGCAGAGCAAAGATCTTCGTTGTGACTCTTGTTCGCATATTGAAACCTCTTTATGCGTGAATTTGACTGTTTTTTTTTTATATCGTTTAGGCTAACGCAAAACAGCAGAATTCGAGCTGCAGAAAATAGCTGATGTTTTAACCAATAAGAAAATAATACGATAATGCCATCATTGAAATTTGATCTGCGTCTGGGCAGAAAGTGGTGAAGCAACACAAAAAAGAGGTTTGTTTTTACAGTGATGGACATTTCAGTGTTCATAAGGACGTTTGTCAATGATATATTCACAATAAACAATTCTTCCACAAATATATGGTTCGTTAGATGATGATTTTATTTGCTGTTCTCAAAATGTTTACAAACAGAGTAATTCAATCATTCAAATAATTAAATATTAGCAAATATTAATTCAGCTTGAATGTCTGTACCTTCCATGATTCTGACAGTGGAAAGAAATAATACTCATTTGTTCGTATAAAGATGAATGCCCTAATTAAAACCATGTTAATAAACTTAACATTTATTAGTCAGATCAGCTAATTATTATCTGTTTAGTGAAAAATTGAAGGGGGTCTGAATACTTTCCGTACCCACTGTATATAAGGCCATTTGATTGCTCTTTGCAGTTTAAACTGATTATAATATATATTAAAAAAATTAATTAGCTGATTATGCTGTACGGTGTCCTTGAGTGCATTGAGACAATAATTCAAAGAAAATGAAATATGAGAGAGAGAGAAAATATGAACAAAGTGGCACAGCTGTCTGGTGCTTCGCCAGCATTCTCTCGTCCTGTTGGAGAAACAGTGAAACGTCAAATCTCAAATCTCAAATTTTCCTGGTAAATAACAAAGCAATAGACGAAACATACCAGCAGACCCTTTCTCAAGCACAGGTTCTTCAGTATAAGCTGCAGTCAATGATTCAGTAGTTTTCTCCTGATGTCCTGAAAACCACATTAATAATATTTGAATTCTGAATAATATCTGAAAAAGCATTACGATGCATATCATAATTCAATTAATGATTTTAGTTTGCATACCCCATTTGACGATAACTGGTTCTTTGAGGGTTCTGTGGGACACAAAACAATCATATTCTGCTTTTTCATCCTCATTGATCTCCACACTCTTCCTCAGCTGGACGGATTCATCATGGTTTGGTCTGATTCCTGTGGATTCAACCTCATCTTCAGGTAGAGATGTGAGATCTTTCCTGATGGTCAAGAATATGTCTTTGGGGTAGAAGCCGGTGGCCAGACAGGTGAGTTTCAGCTTGGATTTGTCACTAATAGACCTTTTTGCAAACACATGAACATCTGGAGGAGCTGCAAACACAGGAATCTATCAGTCAGTTGCATCTGAAGCAGATCATCAAACAAATACAATTTGATCTACTCACTGCCGTTTCTGAGCTCCTCGTCTGCATATTCTCTGAATTTTTCCCAGTAATCCTCCTGCATTTTCTCTTTCATCCACTGCTGTTTGGGAATCTTCCTCTGTTCCTCACTATTGTAAGAGTCGATCTGTCTGTCATCTAGCAGACCCATAGCACTGAACTGATAGATGCCCGGCTGATTGACAGGTTTGGACAAAGCCGTGTAAATGTAATACAGCGAGTGTTTCTCTGCAGTAAAGAGCAGTAAAGCAGTGACAGTTTTTCTCGATTGCTAACACACTGTATCTGATTCAGTTGACCCCATTTCCCAAACCTGTGCTCTAAACAAAGACATTTCACCTGTTTTCTCTTAAGTTCCAATTTTCTCAATGTTTTCTGTCAAACTCTACACAAAAATGCCTTCGTTTTGCACAGGTTTAACAGTGTTCTCATTCAGAAAATACTGACACAAACATTGCAAAACTCATGTCGTACAGGTCAGAATCTCCGGATAATATAAACAGGAGCACATGTGATTATGTGCTTTGTAAAATGAATTCTACTGGTGTGAGATGAATAGGAAGAGGGGTCAAAGGTCCTTTGTTCCTGATGAAGTACACAGCACTACAGTTGATCATGTTCGTGTGGATGGAATGAGCATGAGGGAAGTTGGCCTAAAGGCTCATCTACAGAGCTTTTACACTACTTAAACATACAGTAATAAAGCTTCAGATGAGAAAACCATTATTCTATGTACAGTAAATACTGTGGCACATGTTGTACTCCCTCAATCTCATAACTGTTGAATTAAATTGAGATGTTAAGTCCGAACTAGGAGATATAAACGTCAGAATTGTGAGATAAAATAGGTGAATGTTATGTAAAATGTTATAGGTTTAAATAGGCTATTTCATGCTGTAACTGTAGGGCTAATACAATATGTCCCCTATGAACTGCATATGTAAATATTATGTAGACCTATTGTTCAAAACAAATTTATGCTTTAAAAGTAGAGTAATCATAGCAGGTTTAATCCATAGTCTGTCCGTTTAAACATCTGCCTTTAGCTTCTTTGAGGACAGCATTCTATTCCGATTCTGACACCCAAAGGCACAACAATACATTTTTTTCTTCTCTTAATCCATGGATTTTATCTGTTTCCCTCCATTAGTTACCAGTGTTTTTCTGCCACCACAATGCGCGCGCAGCTGCAAGTGACGTAACTGTGACGTCTACTCCAAATTGGTCAACAACCTCTTGGATATCATTGCCCCGCTGTATGTTAGTAATCAGCACACCCACTAGCCAGTATCATATGGAAGATGGATGTATGGACGCATAGAATCAGTAAACAAACTATATATATTGTTTTAACCCAAGCACATGAACAGAGGCGGACAGTAACTAAGTACATTTACTTGAGTATTGTACTTAAGTACACTTTTTGAGTATCTGTACTTTACTTGAGTATTATTTTTTCTGGGAACTAAATAACTTTAACTTCACTACATTTGAAAGACAAATATTGTACTTTTCACTCCACTGCATTTCTATGAAGGTCCTCAAAGTAGAAAGTCATTAGCAGCTTTGAAAGTCAGTGGGTGATTTCTTTCTTCTCTAAAACTTGACTCTTTTTTTTTTCAGACAATTTATCAGTAATCACTCTTGTAGGGCTACATGAAGAGATTTCCCAGCATTTTTATAACACTGACCAGCTGCAAATGTGATATTTATTTACAACAATTCAATAATAAGAAGTTAATATTGTGGTATATATTAGACACAATATTGTCTGATTTTGCTAAATTGTGTACGTGAAAATATTACCTATAAAGCCACAGAAGAACTGTTGTGCATCTCCTAATAAAACACAAGTACCACGAGAGCGATTAGACAGCAGTTTTAAAATTTTTGTTTTGATGTCAAATAAGTCTTGCTGTTTTGCTTTTTTGTTAAAGCAGTGTTTCTGTTGTAAAGTTATACAGCTACAGTTGTGTTGCTAGGTTTTAAAGCAGGTTTGATTTTTTTATTTCCTTATCACTCTGTATTTACAGGATTTCACTGTCCACTCTGTTCAAATGTGGATGAATGGCTACACATAGATGTGTGCGCACTGTCAGAACTGTGTGAGATCACTACCATCCTGCTTTTGTGGGGGTGGGTAGGGGTGTTAATTTTTTCCCCCATAGGTTTTTAACATTCTAAAAGCTCTTTATTCCAAAGATACTACAAGCTAGTCAGTGTATTCAGTAGGTGTAATGTATTCTAAGTTGCTTCAGAAGTATTGCAAGTATTACATACAACAATAAAACAGTGCATTGACATAAAAAAGGAAATTTACTTTTGGTACTTAAGTACTTTTAAAAGCAAGTACTTCTGTACTTTTACTTAAGTAATGGAGTTGAGTACTTTGTCCGCCTCTGCACATGAACCATCATATGGAGGAATAAATAAGATTGAATTTGTCCATTAATAGGTAGCTAGATTTAGATTTCACGGGGTACTCAGATTTTACATTTCTTCAGCACTTTAACACATTTTATTTCTATTTTTTTTTGTTTTAATAGGCTATGAATTTTTATTTTAGTCAGTCAGCAGTAAAACGAAAATTAATTTAATTTTTAAAATAGGCCAGAGTGGCTTTGTGTGGAAGGCGCGCGCAGAAGGGAGACAGAACAAAACCACAACAATTTATTATTACTGTTTTCGTTTCATACTACACTTAATCCTGGCTAAATAGGCTTTTTTCAGCTATAATTGGATTTATCTGATGATTATAACGCGTTTTACTGATCTTATTTCTACATTTTATTAAATGCTGTAGGCTAGCTCATACACACAAAAAGAAACAAAAACACCTGCAACGTTTTAATTGGAAGGTTAGTTTATAAGGGTAGCCTATAAACATAATTCTATTATATATTTAAAAATAATTCTAATATATATACATACTTTTATATACGATCTTAGCATGCATTTCTTCTCAAATTTAATTTACTTCGTTACAAAGACGTTTTAAATCTCGTTACTTTCACTTAAGTTCTCTGATAAATCAGAAACTTTAAATGATTTACCTGCTTGAAGTAAAAGTGGAGTCCTATAAAGCAGAAAAACACAAAGCACAGCAAAGATCTTCGTCGCCACACTCGTCCCCATGACTGAAAGGCTTTAAGTGTAAATGTGACTAATTTGTATGTCGCTGAAAGCAAAAGCTCACAGCAAGCGAAAATGAGTTAACCTACAGAAAATAGCGGTAGATGTTTTAACCAATAAGAAAACAGAACGATGACACATCATGCGTATCTGGGGAGAAAAGGAGAGGCTTATCAACATCCGGTGTTTTAGCCAGTCAGTCAATGTCCAATGAATAAATAACACTTATCATATATTTTAACATTAAACAATTCTTTCACAAAGTTATAGTACGTTAGATGTCGGTTTTATAATGTTCTCAAAATGTTCACATAAAGTGTGTAGGCTATAATGATATGCATTAGTGCAAATAGCGTAATTCAAGATTATCAGACATTAAAGATATTATTGATAATCGTATAATCTATTATTTTTAAGTAACGTTAATATGACTGTATCTTTGTAATAATCTTTAAGCAAATGTAACGTTATATTGTTTGTGAAGCTGACCTGTCAGCGCGCAGTTGAGTTGCAAGTCTTTAAGCTTCATGTTTTAAACAAGTCATAGTGCTCTTTGCCCAAATTAGTGTCTCAGTATTAATTACCATATCAAATTTATAGTAATTTATATCAGGAAGGCAGGTAGAATATGTTCGACATATCAGTTCAATTTCATGTTAGAAAGGTACCCTCAAGTTCAATCAGTGAAAAAAAAAAAATTTTGTAACAGAATCGCAAAGACAAAATAATTTCATAGAAATAACTGCTACAGACTTCGCATATGTGCATGAGAATATATGCGTTATATTCAGGGCTGGACAGGGACAAAAAATCGGCCCTGGCATTTTTTTGGTCCAGGCGGCCCACCGCCACTTCGAGATATATATATATATATATATACACACACACACACTATACTAGTACATTTTTTTTAACAGTAAGATTTTTTATGTTTTTTAAAGAATTCTCTTCAAAAGCAGTAATATTGTTAAATATTTTTACTATTTAAAATAACTGTTTTCTATTTGAATATATTTTAAAATGTAATTTATTCTGCGATTTCAAAGCTGAATAAATTACATTTTAAAATATATTCAAATAGAAAACAGTTATTTTAAATAGTAAAAATATTTAACAATATTACTGCTTTTGAAGAGAATTCTTTAAAAAACATAAAAAATCTTACTGTTAAAAAAAATGTACTAGTATAGTGTGTGTGTGTGTATATATATATATATATATATCTATATACATACTTTTATATACGATCTTAGCATGCATTTCTTCTCAAATTTAATTTACTTCGTTACAAAGACGTTTTAAATCTCGTTACTTTCACTTAAGTTCTCTGATAAATCAGAAACTTTAAATGATTTACCTGCTTGAAGTAAAAGTGGAGTCCTATAAAGCAGAAAAACACAAAGCACAGCAAAGATCTTCGTCGCCACACTCGTCCCCATGACTGAAAGGCTTTAGTGTAAATGTGACTAATTTGTATGTCGCTGAAAGCAAAAGCTCACAGCAAGCGAAAATGAGTTAACCTACAGAAAATAGCGGTAGATGTTTTAACCAATAAGAAAACAGAACGATGACACATCATGCGTATCTGGGGAGAAATGGAGAGGCTTATCAACATCCGGTGTTTTAGCCAGTCAGTCAATGTCCAATGAATAAATAACACTTATCATATATTTTAACATTAAACAATTCTTTCACAAAGTTATAGTACGTTAGATGTCGGTTTTATAATGTTCTCAAAATGTTCACATAAAGTGTGTAGGCTATAATGATATGCATTAGTGCAAATAGCGTAATTCAAGATTATCAGACATTAAAGATATTATTGATAATCGTATAATCTATTATTTTTAAGTAACGTTAATATGACTGTATCTTTGTAATAATCTTTAAGCAAATGTAACGTTATATTGTTTGTGAAGCTGACCTGTCAGCGCGCAGTTGAGTTGCAAGTCTTTAAGCTTCATATTTTAAACAAGTCATAGTGCTCTTTGCCCAAATTAGTGTCTCAGTATTAATTACCATATCAAATTTATAGTAATTTATATCAGGAAGGCAGGTAGAATATGTTCGACATATCAGTTCAATTTCATGTTAGAAAGGTACCCTCAAGTTCAATCAGTGAAAAAAAAAAAAATTTTGTAACCAAAGACAAAAGACAAAATAATTTCATAGAAATAACTGCTACAGACTTCGCATATGTGCATGAGAATATATATTCAGGGCTCAGGGCTGGACAGGGACAAAAAATCGGCCCTGGCATTTTTTTGGTCCAGGCGGCCCACCGCCACTTCGAGATATATATATATATATATATATATATATATATACAGTGGGTACGGAAAGTATTCAGACCCCCTTAAATTTTAGTAATATTGTGAAATATTTTTACTATTTAAAATAACTGTTTTCTATTTGAATATATTTTTAAAATGTAATTTATTCTGCGATTTCAAAGCTGAATTTTTAGCATCATTACTCCAGTCACACGATCCTTCAGAAATCATAATAATATTCTGATTTGCTGCTCAAAGCACATTTATTATTATGATGTTGAAAACAGCTGAGTAGAACCTTGTTTCATGTTTCTTTGATGAATAGAACGTTCAGAAGAACAGCATTTATCTGAAATATAATTTTTTTGTAACATTATAAATGTCTTTATCGTCCCTTTTGATCAATTTAAAGCATCCTTGCTAAATAAAAGTATTAATTTCTATCATTTCCCAAGGAAAAAAAATATACTGACTCCAAGCTTTTGAATGGTATATGTAGCCTATAATGTTACAAAAGCTTTTTATTTCAGATAAATGCTGATCTTTGGATCTTTTTTATTGGATCTTTCTTACTGTTCAAAAAAAAATGTTGACTGGTAGTGTATGTACAGTATGTATGTGTCACACTCAGGGGCTTCATGCACTCATGAGTTTTGAGGGGGCACGAGTGGGGGGGGTGGGGGCAGCTGAGTAGAATTGCTTCAGGTTTCTTTGATGAATAGAAAGTTCAGAAGAACAGCATTTATCTGAAATATAATTTTTTTGTAACATTATAAATGTCTTTATCGTCCCTTTTGATCAATTTAAAGCATCCTTGCTAAATAAAAGTATTAATTTCTATCATTTCCCAAGGAAAAAAAATATACTGATTTCAAGCTTTTGAATGGTATATGTAGCCTATAATGTTACAAAAGCTTTTTATTTCAGATAAATGCTGATCTTTGGATCTTTTTTATTGGATCTTTCTTACTGTTCAAAAAAAAATGTTGACTGGTAGTGTATGTACAGTATGTATGTGTCACACTCAGGGGCTTCATGCACTCATGAGTTTTGAGGGGGCACGAGTGGGGGGGGTGGGGGCTCGTCGTGCTTGTCATGTGACACAGCAGCCACAATAGCACTGTATAACTGATATAGGCTTATGTTTTATTTTATTTTTTTCCTTTTTATTCGAAATATTTCCAAACGTGTATCAGGAAATATCTCGATTCTCAAACATGTGTAAGTAAATGCGTTTTGTACCAGATTGTTATTTGTGGGTGACAAAGTAGAGTAATAGTGTAATCTATTAACTACACATAAAAACCCGACTTTTTACTTAAATAGGCCTGATATGGGTGTCATGCCATAAAATGTTTTTAACACGACTGACTTTGTATTTAATGTGAATTTAATAACAAAATTGCAAGTTACTAACATTTTCACTTCAGTCTAGCCAGAGTTCAGGCACTCTCAAAAACTCCCATTTAAATCACTGAAGCTGTTTACACTGTGAAATGAATATCTTACTTACATTCATACGCACATCTGCAGTCAGCGAGCAAGTGAACACAACACCGCGTTTCAGCGATGACTCATCTGCACGTCTCTGATTGGCCGAAAAGCCGACGAGGAAGAAGTTCGGGTGAAGCGATCTTTATATAGTCGGCGCAAAATACTTCATCGCTCCGTCTATAGCGCATTGTGATTGGGTGTTTACGCTGGCAATACAGGAGACAAACCAATGGGCCACTGGCTGCTCGCTGTCCCTGCGCGATGGTCCTCGGCACACACACACAAAAAACCTTCTGTCGGCCCCTTAAGTGCGTCGGCTCTCCGGGAAAACGCCCGGTATGCCCGATTACCAATCCAGCCCTCGTTATATCTAAGGCACTGAGACATTATTTGGAAACTCAATGAAACAGATTTAAATACATGTAAGCGGAAACAGAAAGAAATGAAAGCGAGTGCCTAATGAAGAGGGAGAAAAATTGAGTATATTTTATAGTTACATAACAATGCTTATTTGGTGAAAGAAACACTTCTTCAAATTATATTTTAAAGGATCATTATTGCCGCTTGCCCACTTCAGACATTATGTGCATTTATTTATTTTTTTCAAATTAGCTATAGTTTGCGAGGTTTAATCTTAAATCTAGATTAAATTCTGTTGCACCAAACTTTAAACCTTATTTTTAAAAATAAGCAGGTTTACATTTTACCCATCATTTTGATCCTGGATTTAAGTTATATTTAAGATTAAGTTTAATCCTGTTGCACCATAAATTTAAACTCTGATTTAAATCTCGATTATGGATTAATTTAATCGAGGTTTAAATAAAATAAAATAAAATGCACATGCAATTAAAATATGTAACTGACTGAACAAAAACAGTGGAGGTCAGACAAAAACAGGTCTCAGAGAGGTGTTTATTACAAATAAAAATGAAAATGAAAGCGCGTGGAGCTGGCAGAGTGCGAGGGTCGTGGCGGGATGCGGATTCGTTATGGTGCGAGCGGATATAGTCATTATAAACGAATCATGTCATTCGTTTTTTCTTATCTGGGTTCTTTTGTCATAAGTTATGCTATTACTCCATTAGTTTATACTGGCCGCCGCCTAGCCTATATATTTCCAGGCTTATGAAATCCGAAAAGAAGGAAATGCAATATTAACATTGCTGTTTAATTACATGTCGAATGCATGGCGGAGAAACGCTTTTTTTAATTTTTTTTTATTGATGCTTTAAACAACAAAAATATAACAAAAGTGCCATGGCGGAGAAAAATTAAACTTAGACCCAGCTAACACAGTTACGTTGTGACGACGTAACTGGACCGGACCTTATTCGTTGCAAAGACTTACCAAATGTACCAGTGACGTAACCATAGACTGTAAAAAACATGGACGTAGTGTCGGTGATGTCACTCGTAGTTTTCTGAAGAGCATTTTTGAAGACTAAAGTGGGCGGAGCCGACCGCCGCCATCTTGGCAGCGCGTCACCGCGCGTCACTCCCGGATAATCGAAAATGGGCAAAAACCACGCTGAAACCATGCCATAAACCATCTATAGTGACAGCAGTGCTGCCGTGCAAAGACAAAACACCATCACTTCGTTTTTGGTCGAAAATGAGTTATTGGTAATTTTGGGACATTCATGACCTCCATTATCATGTATAAGTGTCTTGGTATCAATATTATGTCACAGTATAACATCAGTTACCGCTCTTGGACTTTGTTTTAGATCGCTCAAATTAATTTACGGTTCTCTGCATT